GGAAAAGAGCTCCAACCCCTTGCTTTCAATGAGATGCCCGTTGCGGTGAGGTGGGTGTTTAAGCCGGTCTTCTCCGTCTTACTTCCGGGCTCTCGATTGGTGCGGCTGGCTGGAGTGTTTAAGACAAAGAGATAGAGCTCAGAACCCCCGTTTTGGGTCAAGCAGTGGTCCTCTGTCTCTCTCACTAACCGGACCAAGAGGAAGGTAAGAAAGAACGATAGATAAGAGGGCAGAGAATTAAGTTGCCAGGAGATTACCACCCCCCCTTCCCACCAGTGCACTGGATTTTAACTTATACTCACGTGCCTTCAGCTGTGATCCCGGGATCGTTGAATAAGCTGGCCGGATCTCTCTTTGCTCCCCGGCTGAACCCCTTGAGGCTGGTCGATTACCGCCCTGAAGATGGCCAGGGGTCCAGAGGGATCTTCCCAGGCAAAACGGCCCGGTGCCGGCTGAAGACTTCGGGGCTCCCGGTCAGCAACACGGGAGAACCGCAGCCCCACATTGGGCGCCAAACTGTTACGGAAAATCTAGGTGCGAGGCTGCTCTGCCACCTAGCTCGTCGGACTGAGTCTGCGGGTCCCTGCGGAACAAAAGGAGCGCAGCCAGAGACCGGAGCAATTTAGAGAAGATCCACGTTTATTGCGCAACAGGTTCAAGGTAAGATTGATGGGGTGTCAAGAACTTTTAAAACTTCCCACCATTACCCCAGATACAGTTCAAAAGCATCATCACTACATCATTGCTACATCATGATTACATCAGGAAAGGGGGGGGTTATACAGGATTAACATATGGGCAAAGGAGGGGGGAAACATGCAGAGCGGAGCATATATTGAAAGGCACATTTTATGTACCGATGATTAGAGAACAATAGGGTCTTAGTTTATATAGTCTAGGGGCGCAGGGAGAAAAGGGGCACTTTTATTTCGGGGCTTGAGTTTTGTGCGATGCTTGGTGCGACACAATGGAGGGGTTGGAGGGTCTCTGCAGGGCAGAGTGCCCTCAAGGTCATCGCCTCGAACCCTCCACAGGCTTTATGGGAATGGGAATGATTACAAACATGACCCCCCCTTTCTGCTCCGTAACAGTTGATCAAAGAGTTCACAATGATGTGTGAACAACTGACCTGTCACTGGCCAGTTTAAAGGACCCTAAGAAGGGAGAGTTGAGTGGTGGTAGTGACTTGTGGTTGAGCATCCATGGCTGGTACTTAGAAGGCAGCCTGAGCAGGCACCCTGGTCCCCTGGGCACAGGCTCCTTGACCATGCATTTCTATTTCAATGATCATGGATTTTTAAAATCTGCATCTTTACTAGTGATGGAAAGATGCGCTACTTTTGGTTCTTTCAGTTTCTCATTTTTCCAAACTTAAATTCAGTCTTCCACATTTCCACAGCAATTTGTGATTTTCTTTTTGGAAAATTCTTTTTGGAAAATTCATCAGAATGTTCACATTAATGTTTCCCAATAAACACATTCTTGTATGCTAATTTGACTAATACTATACAGTTTTGCAAGCAATTTCCCCAAACACAAGGCACATTTGTGTATTACTTTCACAAATATATTCATTTTTATACACATTTTTTCCCTAATATTTGCATTTTTGTTGTTGTAAATGTTGGTTGGCTGGAGAACTGCACCACAAAGTTTGGATAGGTGTAAATTTTGGTTGCCTTGAAATGTGAGCTGAACTGACTTTCTCCTTCATCTATACATATAAATTAGCACATGAAAATTGTTTGCAATTCTGTGTCCTCTTTTTTTGCGTGTGTGTGTGTGTGTGTGTAAATAACCACCCTAATGAAGAAAAAAAGTGGTACAGAAGTCAACATGAGGAACGTGCCCCTCTAGGCGCAAGATCCTTAGGTTGAAGGCTAAATCCCTGTTTATGCAACCAAATAGGAGGCCAGTTCCGTGTTCACGCAGGTGGAGATGGGGACCTAGGGAGAAGCTTTAACGTGGAAGTGCATGGAAGCCTCTGCGTGGATCAGGGCCTGGCTTCAGCTCCTCTATAAGCTCCTCTATAAGCTCCCTGGTCTGACTGGCTTCATTGCTGGAGCAACACCACCCGTTTAGCTCCATGCTCCAGCCTACTAGGACAGTAGCTGTCATTAAGAGCCCAGTGGTTTGAACATTTTCCAGTAAGGACTGTTGGAGTCAAGGAGCCTGCTGCTCCTGCTTGCATTGTTTGCCATCCCCACCTACCCTGCACCCTTGCCAAACTCCCCACCCCGCTTGCCAACCCCCAATTTGCACTTCACCCAATGCCCCCATCCATAGCTACGGGGGGCTAGCTGGTTTTTTGTTTTCTTTTTTGCCCCAGAGGAACACCATTGAGGCTCCCAACCTGTGTGTACGCAAATGTTTGTGGAGGGGGCGCCAAACTGGGTTTTTGACCCAGGTGAAATGAAGCATGGTTTCACCCCTGCCCCCATCTCCTCATGCCTCCTTTAATGCCCCATATCAGTGTTGGAATATTCTAGAAAGAATAGAAAGAACTTGGTCTTAAACAGGTTGCTAGGCAATAGAAAAATCTACCCAGCAACAGGAGCCTTTATAAAGGGCATGTGATCAATAAGCGTCAGAGTGTCAAGTGTCAGTATGTAAATGAACATGAGTCAGCATTAGGTCTCTGGCTGGATGGCTGGAAGAGGAAAGGATTACGTATGTTATTTTATATTTGTATTTGACCAGTGTAATTTGTTGTAAATAATAAAGATACTCAATTAAAACAAAACTCTGTTGCAAGTCTATTAAAAGAAGAAAACCCAAGAGTAGATGCTGCACACACATCAACAATCCCCACAGCTCCTTCAAGTCCCCCATATGTTCACAGTTCCTCTCTCTCTTTCCCTGCATTGTTCAAAAGTCTGCTGTTGTTTAAAAATTGCCTTCTTTTTAGCTCCCCTGCCCTGAGTTCATGCAAATCCAGGACTGTGATGCAAATCCTTCCACAGATGAAAGACTTAGGTTTTTATGCATAAAGGAGGACATACTTAAACTATCATGGTTCTCCCCCTCCAAAAAAAGAATGAAAGGAATCTGAGGAATTGTGGTTTGGAATTGTAGGGTTTGAGGTTTTTGTTTTGCCTTGTTTAGCTAGAGATTGCTAGACCTGAGAAAAGGGGATTGACCATTTCAGACAGTTTGTCGGGTCAGCATGTGGGTGGCTCTTTCCCTTCTTGTCTTTTTTTCATCATGTCATAAGACTTAACCCAGTGAGAGACCTTGCTCCTTGCTCCATTGCCTTTCTATCCAGCTTCCAAGTTGCATATGTAGGACCTGGTTTCCTGCCAGCTTGTGGGTTCTGCAACTTATCAGTCTGAAGCTTTGCAGACTGGCTCATTCTGCAATTTGACTCTCTATTGATCCTTTTTGGGAAACATGAAGTTGAAGTGATTATCCCAGGGGATAAACGATTTCCTTGGAAATATATTCACCCAGTTGGTTTTGCAGGAGGCCTTCCGGGCAGTCCCACAAAGAGTCTTTCCAAAGGGGAGAGCAGTGGGCAGAGCTGGAGGCAGGGGAGTGGGCTCTTATTTTGTAGGTGCCCTTTCAAAGCCACCAGCAAATGCTGTGCTGCATTTCAGCTCATGGAAATATGACTCCTGCAGGGCAAAATCGAAGGCAGCGCTCAGAGGTGAAATGAAATCTAATTGCTACCATCAGTTTAATTCTGCTCTCTGTCTCATTTATGAATGGCTGCCATCAAATTGCAGCTAATTACCGCCAGCACTTTGTACGTGAACAGCCATTCATTTTCAGACCTGATTCGTTTCCTTCTCTCCCCCTCTCTTTAAAAAAAGTCTGCCTCATGAACTTGCTTTGGTTTTCTTTTCCTCTGGCTACCGTGCTCTATTTCTTTGGCCACTCTTAACGGAAACACAGCCCACCCAGGATACATGAACACTACAAACTTGATCGCCTTAGCCACATAGGCCCATGTGCAGAACTGGCCTTGTTACAGGGGACACTTAAAACATGTACAGTGGTACCTCGGTTTAAGAACAGCCCTGTTTACGAACTATTTGTTTTACAAACTCCACAAAACCAGAAGTAGTGTCTCAGTTTGCGAACTTTACCTTGGTCCAAGAACGGAATCTGAACAGTAGAAGGGCCCCGGGCGGCAGAAGGCCTCATTAGGGAAAGCGTCCCTTGGTTCAAGAACGGTTTCAGTTTAAGAACGGACTTCCAGAATGGATTAAGTTTGTAAACTGAGGTACCACTGTACCGCTGTGAGTAATCGATTTCTTAGTGTGGCAGCACCCACCCTAGGGAACTCCCTGCCTCTTGACACCAGGCAGGCATCTTCACTGTGCTCTTCAGCACCTGCTAAAAGCAGTTTTGTTTCAACAAGCTTACATGGATATGTAGAATGCTGACATGTGTTTTTAATCTGTTGTTGGTTTATATTTGATCTTAAATATGATTTGAATGTTTTCAATAGCTGTTCTTAACTGTTATTGATTTTGCTGTTTTATTCTTTTTGCAAACCACTCAGACATTTTTTCTTCTTACAATTGGGTGGTGTATATATAAATGATATGAAATAAATAGAATCATAGAATTGTAGAGTTGGAAGGGACCCCGAGGGTCATCCAGTCCAACCCCCAGCAATGCAGGAATCTCAGCTAAAGCATCCATGGCAGATGGCCATCATCCAACATCATGAACAACTCTCACTGTCAGAAAGTTCTTCCTGATTTTAGTCGGAATCTCCTTTCTTGAAACCTGAAGCCATTGTTTTGAGTCTTACCCTCAGGAGCAGTAAAAAACAAGCTTGTTCCCTTCTTCCATGTGACACCCTTGAGATATTTGAAGATGGCTATCATATGTGAATTATATCAATATCATATTGTAAATTACAAATAAATAATTTGTCATTCACAAATCACAGAATTCACAAATTTAAGCATTAAAAGTGAGCCAGAAGGAGTCATCATGGAAAACAAAGGCTTCCTGAGCATAAACCCCTTCCTCTCCTTTCTGTTCAGTTGGCAGGAAGCAGTTCATGCAGTTTGAGTGGGCCAACAAGGCAGCGGAAGTCCTTGGCTGCGATTTTGAGGAGCTCACAACAGCCGTCTTCAAGCACCACCTCCAGAGGATTATTGAGCAGGTCACGTCTGGAGCCAGAGGACAGCTCAGCCAGGACCAAGGCTGGTCGGATGGTAAGGGCCTTTCCTCATGCAAAGTTAGCAGGGGAAAGAGAGGCTCCGTTTTGACAATTCCCCTCCCTCCATCAACCTTGGGTTGAATATGCATGTTTGAATCCATCTTGGGAACAACTCAAACAGGTACAGATAGATTCCCCCCCTACCCTCGGCCCATCTAGTGCAGCATCCTGTTTTCACAGTGGCCAGTCCACAAGCAGGACATGAGTGCAGTAGTAGCACTCTCCCTGCTCATGATTCCCATACTGGAAGCAACGTGCTATCTCCGTGGCTAGGTGTTGATGGTAAACTTGTTTTCCATGAACTTGTCTAAACCACTTTCAAAGCTACCCAAGTTGGTGGCATCACTGTATCTTGTGGCAGTGAATCCCAAGGGTTAGCTATGTGCTCTGTAAATAAGTGTTTGTGTTCTGAATCTCCCACCATTTAGCTTCACTGGATGACCCCTTTGGGTTCTGCTATTCAGAGAGAAGAAGAAAAACTTTTTTTCTCCACCCTTTCTGCACAAGACATTGTTTGATACTCCCTGGGTTTTAGTTTTATGAGAGAGAAAAGCTTCTCTTTCACTGCACCATGCATAACATTATTAACCTCTGACCTGTACCCTCTTGCTCTCCTTTTCTTTAGAATAAAAATACCCAGTTGGTGTACCCTTTCTTTATAAGAGAGTTTATCATTTTGCTTGCCCTTTTCTGAACCTTTTTCAACTTTGCAATGTCCTTTTTGAGGTGAGGCAGCCAGAGTTGCACACAATATTTCAAGTGTGTTCACACCATAGATTTCATAGAATCATAGAATCATAGAGTTGGAAGAGACCACAAGGGCCATCGAGTCCAACCCCCTGCCAAGCAGGAAACACCATCAGAGCACTCCTGACATATGGTTGTCAAGCCTCTGCTTAAAGACCTCCAAAGAAGGAGACTCCACCACACTCCTTGGCAGCAAATTCCACTGTCGAACAGCTCTTACTGTCAGGAAGTTCTTCCTAATGTTTAGGTTGAATCTTCTTTCTTGTAGTTTGGATCCATTGCTCCGTGTCCGCTTCTCTGGAGCAGAGGAAACAACCTTTCTCCCTCCTCTAGATGACATCCTTTTATATATTTGAACATGGCTATCATATCACCCCTTAACCTCCTCTTCTCCAGGCTAAACATGCCCAGCTCCCTTAGCCGTTCCTCATAAGGCATCATTTCCAGGCCTTTGACCATTTTGGTTGCCCTCCTCTGGACACGTTCCAGTTTGTCAGTGTCCTTCTTGAACTGTGGTGCCCAGAACTGGACACAGTACTCCAGGTGAGGTCTGACCAGAGCAGAATACAGTGGCACTATTACTTCCCTTGATCTAGATGCTATACTCCTATTGATGCAGCCCAGAATTGCATTGGCTTTTTTAGCTGCCGCGTCACACTGTTGGCTCATGTCAAGTTTGTGGTCAACCAAGACTCCTAGATCCTTTTCACATGTACTGCTCTCAAGCCAGGTGTCACCCATCTTGTATTTGTGCCTCTCATTTTTTTTGCCCAAGTGCAATACTTTACATTTCTCCCTGTTAAAATTCATCTTGTTTGTTTTGGCCCAGTTCTCTAATCTGTCAAGGTCGTTTTGAAGTGTGATCCTGTCCTCTGGGGTGTTAGCCACCCCTCCCAGTTTGGTGTCATCTGCAAATTTGATCAGGATGCCCTTGAGTCCATCATCCAAGTCGTTGATAAAGATGTTGAATAAGACCGGGCCCAAGACAGAACCCTGTGGCACCCCACTAGTCACTCTTCTCCAGGATGAAGAGGAACCATTGATGAGCACCCTTTGGGTTCGGTCAGTCAGCCAGTTACAAATCCACTGAGTGGTAGCATAGTCAAGTCCACATTTTACCAGCTTCTTTACAAGAATATCATGGGGCACCTTGTCAAATGCCTTGCTGAAATCAAGGTAGGCTACATCCACTGCGTTCCCTTCATCTACCAGGCTTGTAATTCTGTCAAAAACGAGATCAGGTTAGTCTGACATGACTTATTTTTCAGAAATCCATGCTGACTATTGGTGATCACAGCATTCCTTTCTAGGTGCTCACAGACTGTTTGCTTAATGATCTGCTCCAGAATCTTCCCTGGTATTGATGTCAGACTGACTGGGCGGTAATTATTTGGGTCCTCTCTTTTCCCCTTTTTGAAAATAGGTACAACATTTGCCCTCCTCCAGTCTGCCGGGACTTCGCCTGTTCTCCAGGAATTCTCAAAGAGGACTGCCAGTGGTTCTGAGATCACATCTGCCAGTTCTTTTAATACTCTTGGATGCAGTTCATCTGGCCCTGGAGACTTGAATACATCTAGACTAGCCAAGCATTCTTGTACTATCTCCTTAGTTATTCTGGGCTGTGTTTCCTCTGCTGAATCATTTGCTCCAAATTCTTCAGGTCGGGCATTGTTTTCTTTATTGGAGAAGACTGAGGCAAAGAAGGCATTGAGGAGTTCAGCCCTTTCTGTGTCCCCTGTTTGCATTTCACCATCTTCTCCTCTGAGTGACCCCACTGTTTCTTTGTTCTTCCTTTTGCTATAACAGCATTATAGTAAAAGCAGTTTTGCCCTTAATCCCTTTGCATAGCATGGAATTCACCTTGTAACAGGGACCTGTGAAGCTGCCCTGCTCACCCGACCTCAGTATTGTCAGTGTAGTAAACAGAAAGAGGCAGCTGAGGCTCACAGAGGCCATTCTCAGCTCTACTGCCAAAAAGGTCCTCCTTAGAGATTCCAAGCCCTGGACCATGAGCAGATTCCCCACACTGAAGTCTAAGGAAGGGCTATGGCTCAGGGACAGAGGACTTGCTTAGCACATGAAAGGTGCTAGGGTCAATCCCTGCCAGCTTCACCAGATAGGATTGGGAAATACCTCTGTGCCTGGTGAGCCAATGATCTGGCTCAGTACAGGCAGCTTCCTGTGTTCCTATGGAGAATGATGGCCCACCAAATCCAATGCAGTCTGCTTTGGTTGACAGCAGTGCTGTTTTTTTCCGAAAAAGAGGTGCCAGAACTCAACATGAATGTCTCCCTTGTTCTCTTATAATGGCAATGGCACCCACCGGAGAGGGGCCGGAATTAAGTTCTGGCCGAAAAAAAGCCCTGGTTGACAGTAGCTGTCCTATGCCTGAGCTTAGGCCTGCTGACCAAGCACATTTCTTACCTGGAAGTTGCACCTGAGACCTTCTGTATGCAAAGCCAAGTGCTCTTTCACTGAGGTCTGGGTTCTTTCTGCGTATCACTTCTCTCTCTGCCTCTCTGTCACACACCTTATTGTTCTGCCTCTCTTAATTGTGGCACTCATGCAATGATTAGGTAAGTGTGGACACATTTGCAGGTAGTGATGCAGGAGGAGAGGAAGTGCTCACAACCCCGTATCCAAGGACCACTCCCCCCTCCCTACTAACTAGCACTCTGTGGGCCACAGCATGCAAAGCCACCTTGTCAGAGGCAAATTGCCTTCAAATTTTTGACTACAACAGGGGCAATCAGAGGTAACATATATTTTTTTTTGCACTTGAACACAAAACAATGAGATTGGTTATTTAAAAATAAAACCCTTTTGATTTTCAGCCCTTTAAAAAAAAGGTAGCTAAGCGCATCTGGCTTTCCAAACAGCTCTTTGAATTGTAAATCTGCCAGGTATTTGAAAGCAGGAAAAGCGGGTTGGAGAAGGAAGGCGTAACCAAGATATTAGCTGCCTACTGAGATCTGGGACAGGCAACAAGCTGTTTGCGGCCAGCTTTCTTGCTGTTTTTTGCCTTGACAACGCCCCCTCCCCTCTGCTTTTCTGCAACTCTTTTCATCTACTGCCTCCCGCCCCCCCCCACTGCTACCTGCTTTTGTGCACTAAGTAACAACCAGTGTTTATTCGTGGCTGAAATTTGCTAAGGAATGGACCTGAAAACAATTTAGAAAAGATGCCAGCTGTAGTTGGTTTCCTTAGCAACGGGCTCAGGTTCCAAGCATGTAAAACCCTCAAAGAGGCACCTGCTTCCCTTTCTTCCTTCCTTAAACTCTCCTCCAATCAGTATTTCAAAGTCCCCTACCCCAATTCAGGTTTTTTGCACCAGGAAAAGATCTGCCCTCCCAAGAGGAACAGGAGCGACAGAGCCGCTTCTGGTGCTGAACCCTGTAGCTGTTGGCAACATTTAAGATCTCTCAGTGCATCTAAATAACATTCAGATCAGTTTGGAAAAGGGACAACTGCAAAAGGACATGACAGAAGTTTATAAAATTATGCACAGGATGGAAAATGGAATATATGTATTTATAGAGTGAGCAATTTTTATCCTTCTCCCATTATACTAGAATGGGGAAGGAGGTAGTCACCAAATTAAATGGATTCAGAATGGAGGAAAGTCATTCTGCACACAGATAATGTTTGAAACTGTTTTTCCAAATGCAAACAAGTTTTTGTTCTTAATGGATCTTTGATAAACAAACAACTTAGTGGAAGAAGACTGAACTTTATTGAACAAAATAGGCTTCTATACCCACATACAACAGTGCAAAACCTCCCCAAACAGACACAGTCAATGAACCCCCTTCTCATTTAACACACACACACACACACACACACACACACACACACAATCAATCAATCCCCAACAAACATTTACCCAAGCAACCAACACATAGTACCAGACCACTAACCCAAATCCCTCCTTAGGCCTAAGAAACAACAGCAGAGTGGCTCTTCTGTCTGGTTTGCAATGCAGCAACCCTGACCCACATCCAGGCACACTGCATTTAGGTTCAAGCCCTGTTATTTATACCCAGCCCAGATAGGCAAGGCTTAATGCCTCAACTGCCTCCACCTATACTGATTAGTGTCATGTCTACATCCTCCCAGTCCCATGATCTGGGTAATCAAGCCCCAACTGGGCCCTCTTTAAGGGTAGAAGTGCTCCTGCAAGGACTTAAAGCGGCCTTAAATGAAGGGTTAATTGTGCAAGGCCACCAAGCCTCCTCATCCATCTTCCGTGTTTCCACTACAGGAACTCAGTGCCACAAGATGGATATGGACTTACATGGCTTTAAAACAAGCTGGGGGAGGTATGGGCCAATGGCAGTGGGCTGGGCTATTCCCTTCAAGCCTCTACCTGTCCATCATGATTTGGATTTTTAATTTTGATAGTTTGTGTCCCATGCTGATTCCCTGTTGAAAAGTTCCAACATGATGCTGGTGGTTTGGGTGCAGGTTGTATTGGAGACTGTGTGCCCCTCTCCTTGTTAGAATACATCATGCATCCGATGGAGTAGCCTCCTGCATTACAGGGAGGAGTTGGACTAGTCCCTTCCAACGCTACAGTTCTATGATTCATGCCCTCCAGACATTTTGGATGACAGCTGCCATCAGTCGCAACATCAGACAGCCCTGCTGGCTGGTGTCCACAGGAGCTGTCACTCAAACATTTGGAGGGCACCAGGTTGGTGAAGACTGGCTTATGCCATAACAAATGGTTAGTTTTCTTCAGGTGCAACAAACCTTTTACTGTTTTTTTCCTGCAACAGACAGACACAGCAGTTGCCCTGGTTGGAAATTGCTTCTGGTTTGATTGCAAAGCTCTGAACTAACAGCATGTGGGGAGGACTGCTGAGCAGCCATGCCCAAAGGCACTGTCAGGAAAATTAAGCAATCTGTGTCTCTCTCCTTCAGGTCCCAAGATGACAGGTGTGGAGTGCGTGGAAGGGATGGCTGTGGGGCTCTATGAGGAGCTGTTTGCAGCTGTTGTGTCGCTCATCAACAGGTATGTTTGTCTTTGAATGCTGCAAACTCACTTTTGGAAAAGTAGGCCTTTCCTTGGCTAGATCACAAAGATGTGATGAGCTATAGGAAGAGCTGAGGGGTTGTTGCATCTTTCTGGGTTTTCCACTGCCCATGACACCTACATTTTAAAAAAGACTTCAGTTGAAAGTTGGAGAATAAATGAGAGGCGGGTGTTTGGTATGGAGGGAATGCCATTTGTGAAAGATGCTTGCAGCGGAAGAAAGATGTGAAAGGGCCATAGCTCTGGGGCAGAACACCCACCTGGCATGCAGAAGGTCCCAGGTTCCATCTCTGACAGCATCTCCAGGGAGGACTGGGGAAGTCCCCTGTCTGATACTCTGGGAGCCACTGCCAGTCAGAGTAGACAACACTGAGCAAGGGGGACCAATGGTCTGACTCTGTCTAAGACAACTTCCTGGGTTCCTATGTGATCCTCCATCAGGGTGAGTGTCTTTAAATCATCTGTCGCTTTTGCTGTCCAAACATGTTGGAGAGAATATGTAGCATCTTAGTCTGGTTTTCTTGGATGTTGAACATAGAGAGCTAGGGAGACATCAGGGAAGAGCGGTGCCTTTTTATATGTGAAGTTTCATTTGCCTTCGAGATTCTCCTCCTCCTGCATGAGAACATAGTTCCACAATAGCTTTTAAATATGGTTTTCTGTACAGTTGTTGTCAATGTTAATGAATGGTGGTATTTAAATGTTTTTTAAATAAATAAGATCATGTGTGTGCCTCAGCCATCAAGTAGCTGCCAGGGGTGGGGAGTTCAGACCTGCCACATGCCTTAACTGACTTTTAGCTCCACTAATGCTGACATCACTTTTTCCTCAGTTCTCCTCTTTGCAATCTAGATTCTTCTTGCACAGAAATCCCAAGGAGAATGTGGGGAGCTCTCAAGCACCCGGCAGGCCCGCAATCTAATTTTGGAAGCAAGTTCCATCTTCAAGGTGCAACTACAGAGCTCATTGGCCCCTTGAAGCACCTGAAATTCCCAGCATGTTGGGCCTCTTGGTTGGTGGGCCTTGGAGTCAGGCTTCCTGGGATGGACCTTTCCCAATTAGTGCTCATTTCCACACATAGGTTCAGCCTCTTTCCCATTCAGCAGTTGGGTTAGTTCCTGCCGTGTCCTTGCTTCCATTAAGTGGGACACCCTGTTGTTATCTGCATAGGTGTAAAGATGCATTTGTTTGTTTTGTTGTTGGTCTTTTTTATTTTAAAAAAGAGAGCATGTGGAGTGAAAACTGTGGTGTGCTGAGAGCAACACTTGTTTACTTATTAATAATGGATGTGACTTTGCAGGATTGACACGAAGGTTACCAGCATGTTGAGATTAATGCGCCCACTTGAGGGAGTCAAATAACAAGCTTCATATGGGACACGGAGAGGCTTGCTTCCTAATAAAAAGGCTTCATTAGACTGGATCCAAAGGTCAGGAGGGAGAGGCCTTGGTTGCCTCTTCTGTCCCAACAAGGTGGTGGTTGTAGTAATTACTAGATGTGCTGTCAATCTGCTGCTGTTGTTGCTGGGCTGGGGGTGGCTTTTCCTTGTGGCTTCACAGCTGCAGAAAATGCTGCTTAAAGCTTCATTGGGACCAGGCTTGGAAAGTGCTAGCAAATCCTCTTCCCAAATGCCACACCAGCCATTGATGTAGAGAGCACACCTCCTTGTGCAAAAATGCCATGTATCTAAGGAGTACGGCTTGCAAAAACTGTGTACATTGGCTAAAATTGCATACAAAAATGTTTGTTTTAGGAGAAATGCACCTAAAATGCTGGTGAGCATTATTCAAAAAGAAAAAAAAACATAAATGCAAAAATGTGGTGAACTAAATTTAGGGTCCAGGGGGAAGAGGGAAACGAAAACAGATAGATTCATCCTTCCTGTAAGGATATCAGGGGGTTACTCGAGAGCAATTAGGCAAATGCCTCCCTGGTAAGCTGTAAAGCCTCGTTATTGGTGCCAAAAAAACCTTCACCATGCAGAGCACCACTATTCCACGGCTCACTCATTCACTGGCAGAATCTGAGAGTGAGCAGTCCTTAAACCTTCCCCAGCAGAGTAGTTTCTTGACACCCAGTCTGCGCTTGCCCTCTCTGTGCGAAAGCCTACTGCGCAAGGAGGGCGTGGGTAACAGAGGACCTCTCTCCTCCCTGCTTTGCTCAGGCAAGGTGTCCTGGCACCACCTCAAAGCCCTGAAGCTCCTCTCCACTGGAGGCGTGGTTACTCTCCTCCGCTGAGGAGGTGCTGCTTCCCACGATCTTTGGGGGCTCTCTGTAATCCATCCGGCTTTTCCCCTCTCGCCCCTGAGCCGATGGCAGTTCCCTGACACTTCCCTATTTACATAGTTCTTAGATCAGAGAGATTTTCTTCTGCCTTCAAATCTTAGAGGGTTTATTCTCTGTCTTAGCACTCATCTTTGGGAGAATGTGATATTTATGGCAACTTCTCTCTTGAATATCACCTTCACTGTGTGCTGCGCATGCATGCATTCTTCCTTTCCCAAATGCAAAAGAATCATCTTGGCCTTTTAAGTGACCCAAGTGGAAATGCAGCCTGTCATAACAACGTAAGAAGAGAGTCCTGTAGCTGGACCAGGCCAATGGGGACCCATCGAGTCCAGCATCCTCTCTTCACGGTGGCCAACCAGATGCCCATTGTGGGAAATCCACAAGCAGGACCCAAGCACAAGAACATTGTCCCACGCCCTGTGGTTTCTGGCATTCAGAAGCATTGCTGCCTCTCCCACTGTGGAGACAGAGCAGAGCCATCTTAGTCAATAGCCACTAAACCTCTTTTAAAGCCAAACATTGATGCTCCTTTTTGAGTTTAAAACAAACTTGAATAGCTTTTGGGTATCACTGCACTTTCAGAATTGCAGGGCACATCGTTAGCTATGACTTGAAATTCTCTGGAGTTAATTCTAAATAGAGATTTCATTTGTTCCAGGAACTGGGCAGAGGTGATGCGGATAGCCACAAGCAGTGCTTTTTTCTGGGGGTATGCAGGGGTATGCATACCCCCAAACATTTTGCGAATCTAAGTTTGGCCTCATTGAGGGGCAGTATTTCAATATGAGTAGGAAAATGAGAGTACCCCAGCCTAAACATTTTTCAAGAAAAAAAAGCACTGGCCACAGGTGCTCCTTCTCCCTGCTTCTAGCCATTGCAGGCAACATATTTTGCTAACAGTCTCCATTTGAAACAAAGCAAACTTCCCTTCATACTTGTCATTGGCACACAGACCTAGTGGTGGGAGGAAAAAATCCTTAAATAAGAGACACGGGGGAATGATTAATGGACTTCAATGTCTGTACACTAATGCGCAAAGCATGGGAAATAAACAAGATGAGCTTGAGCTCCTGGTACAGCAAACTAAATGACATAATAGGAATCACTGAAACCTGGTGGGATAAATCCCATGATTGGAATGTAATAATGGAGGGATACAATCTATTTCAAAGAAACAGACCAGACAAGAAAGGAGGAGGAGTGGCGTTATATGTCAGGGATGTGTATACCTGTGAAGAGATCCAAGATTTAGAACCTCAAAGCCAAAGTGAGAGCATTTGGGTGAAAATTAAGGGAGAGAAGAATAACAGTGACCTCATTGTGGGAGTTTACTATAGATCCCCAAGCCAAACGGAGGACATAGATGATGCCTTCCTGGAACAGATGGCCAAGCATGCAAAAGGAAGGGAGATAGTAGTAATGGGGGACTTCAATTACCCTGATATTTGTTGGATGTCAAACTCAGCCAAGAGCATAAGGTCAAACAGATTCCTCACTGCCCTCACTGCCCTTTTTTGACTTTAAGAAAGCCGACTTCATAAAGCTTAGGGAAGTGCTGGGTGAGATCCCATGGACAGTAATCCTAAAAGGAAAGGGAGTTCAAGATGGCTGGGAGTTTGTTAAGAGGGAGATAGTAAAAGCACAACTTCAGGCAATACCAATGAGACGGAAACATGGAAGGTGCCTAAAGAAGCCAGGGTGGCTATCTAAAGAACTTTTAACTGAGTTAAGATTAAAAAAGGATGTGTACAAAAAATGGAAAAGGGGGGAAACCACCAAAGAGGAATTCAAACAAATAGCCAGCACGTGTAGACACAAAGTCAGAAAAGCTAAAGCACAAAATGAACTCAGGCTTGCTAGAGAGGTTAAAAGCAACAAAAAAGGCTTTTATGGGTATGTTCGTAGCAAAAGGAAGAACAAAGAAACCGTGGGGTCACTCAGAGGAGAAGATGGTGAAATGCAAACAGGGGACACAGAAAGGGCTGAACTCCTCAATGCTTTCTTTGCCTCAGTCTTCTCCGATAAAGAAAACAATGCCCGACCTGAAGAATTTGGAGCAAATGATTCAGCAGAGGAAACACAACCCAGAATAACTAAGGAGATAGTACAAGAATACTTGGCTAGTCTAGATGTATTCAAGTCTCCAGGGCCAGATGAACTGCATCCAAGAGTATTAAAAGAACTGGCAGATGTGATTTCAGAACCACTGGCAGTCATCTTTGAGAATTCCTGGAGAACAGGCGAAGTCCCGGCAGACTGGAGGAGGGCAAATGTTGTCCCTATTTTCAAAAAGGGGAAAAGAGAGGACCCAAATAATTACCGCCCAGTCAGTCTGACATCAATACCAGGGAAGATTCTGGAGCAGATCATTAAGCAAACAGTCTGTGAGCACCTAGAAAGGAATGCTGTGATCACCAATAGTCAGCATGGATTTCTGAAAAATAAGTCATGTCAGACTAACCTGATCTCGTTTTTTGACAGAATTACAAGCCTGGTAGATGAAGGGAACGCAGTGGATGTAGTCTACCTTGATTTCAGCAAGGCATTTGACAAGGTGCCCCATGATATTCTTGTAAAGAAGCTGGTAAAATGCGGTCTTGACTATGCTACCACTCAGTGGATTTGTAACTGGCTGACTGACCGAACCCAAAGGGTGTTCATCAATGGTTCCTCTTCATCCTGGAGAAGAGTGACTAGTGGGGTGCCACAGGGTTCTGTTTTGGGCCCGGTCTTATTCAACATCTTTATCAATGACTTGGATGATGGACTCAAGGGCATCCTGATCAAATTTGCAGATGACACCAAACTGGGAGGGGTGACTAACACCCCAGAGGACAGGATCACACTTCAAAACGACCTTGACAGGACTTCCGGAGGCGGCGCGAAACCGTGATGGCGGTCCTCTTCGAGCTGTGAAGAGGGGCACCGCAGGAAAGGGTTGGTTCGCTACGGCACAGCGGCAACCCATCAAGATAAACCACGGGTAGAGTGAGCCCGTGGCCGTGGGACTCGGCGGGCACCTGGAGCGACCCCGAATTCGCGGAAGGAACCCCGTGAAGGAGGGGGAGCGGTGCTGTGAGTTCATCTCTCTTTCTGCGGAGGCGAAGCCGCGCGGCTGTCACGGATGAGCGCCGACCTTTCTTCCTGAAAATATCTGGCTGAAACTAAAAACCCGTGAGTAAGGACTTGAATTTTGGCGGAATAAATTTTAAAATTTGGCTGAAACCGGGAGACGAGAAAAAGGAAGTCCGTCTTCCGGCGCTGCTTTAGATCAAAGCAAAGACAAGAGGAGCGGAAAGCGCTGTGAATAGGGAAGCGTTAAAGTGGGACTTTCATGCACTTTTGAACTGGCTTTTAATGAAGAAATACAGAATTACCAGTAAGTAAATTCTCAAAATTAAATTGGAGTGGTCTCCTCGTTAAAGGGTTTTTGAGATTTTAATCCCAAATCGTCGGACTGCCGGGGGGGAAACTGTTTAACTGCGGAAACTGTTACAAACTTCCAGATACTTTTGGATTTTAAAGTGATACTTTTGAGCCAAATCAGTGTGGACTGGATACTGTTGCAGGCA